TAGCTTCTCATTTAACAGTTACTACAAATGTTGCCCTATGACAATGGTTAACAATCTCACAACACATCAACAATAACCTTACTCAACCTTGGGTTCCCTATCACCAGCTTCCTTGTCCCCTTCTGCTTTCCGGCCCTTGTCACTGGACTCCTGTACCTCGTTAGTCTCATTTGGTTTTACGGGGCTGTCCACTCCCAGGCTGAACATGCAAAAGCTTTTTTTAAAAAAAAGTAACACCTTGGATGTTACAACTGATTTGATCCAACCCAAAGCATCTATGCATAATTATTTCTTTTCCCTACAGAGATGAATTATTACTTTAATATAAATTCCTAATGGCATTTAATAATCCCCGAGGCTGTTAAGATGTCTCTTCCATTGTTTCATAGCCACAAAATACCCATGGCCTAGAAACATCACACGTGGCAATACCCCTGATTGAGCCGCTACAGAAGCCAAGAAAAATACATTCAGCTAACCTTCTGAATTGACATTCATAATTTAAAAAATTGGCAGAAAAGGCTAACAGGCCCCCAAAAAATGACACTTGTAGGAAAAATGGCTCTACCCAAAAATCAAACCCTTACAAATCAAATGGATCACTGATGCCTATGCTTCTCAGATTCTTACGCACACTGGGAGTGCAATACATATTTGTTGAAAGAACAAATACATTAATTTTTAATTAAAATTAATACCACCAAGCTTCTACATTTGGATGATGTCCAGATAATGCTTATTGACATTATGCGGTGGGTCATTTCCCATTATACGTTCAACATCAACCGTACTGTAAACATCTTATTATGCTTTTATTGTGTTATCAGTGGTAGCAATATTTGAGAACACATTTCACCATCTGCCTCCATTAAATTCCAGTTGGAGCCAAAGCAGAACCTAACTGCAAGATACTGACTTTCAAATCAGGAGATATCAGAGCTATTAAAGCTCCTGAGGTTTTGAAGAACAGAGTTCAAAGGCAAGACTAATGACTTGCTCACGGATATAACAATTCTTTCAAGTATTCGTCACAATTATAATGAAGGATTCTTTCCTTAATTCATGAATAATTTTTAAGGTCTACATTTTCTATTAGATAAAAATGTTAAACAACAAATCATACAAATTTTTTCTAAAACAGCCTGATATTTTTTGAAGACCATATGTAAATACTTCTGGAAAGAAACTGAGCTCTGATTTGCGTCAGCAAGCCACCAAAAAGTAAATTAATGGTAAATTTTAGAAACACTATTTTCTAGAAGGATTTAATTACAGAATTTTGTTATCAGGTGGCACAGCTAAAAAGACAGCACTTTCAGCTTCAAACAGCTGGAGAGAAACTGCTGTTTGATGGGAAGAAGATAAGAATTACTAAGGTTCTTCCTCTTTATACTTACAGTAGAAACAATATATAGCCATAGCAGAACCACAAATAGGTTCTGAAATAAATATTATCTCGACTGTTCACTGAAGAATTTGTAGCAGCATAAATTAGATGTCAGTGAAACAGAGATGTGACTAGAGATAACATACAGGAAGCTGTTGCTTTGCACAGTTCCGGTAGGTGTAAGTTACCACCTTGAAGTTAAGGAACATAATTCCCCCAACAACATGGTTCAAATTTTAGTTACCATGGTATATTAACTATGAGTATTGCATTAAATAGAAACTTTGCTGCTAGTGCTACAGTCCACAAATCCGTTCGTAATTAACAGATGTACACCGTGATCGGCAGCTGATCACATCTTTCACTTTTACATCAATCACTTCTTTCAAAGTCTGTTGGTCACTGTGCACCTGTGTACGCCCAGACAGGAAACCATGTAGTGGTTGTCTTGCCTCCTTGATTCCCAATGATAAACCCACGCGACATTTTACAAAAATGGATAACTAAAAGAGAATTGGTCAACAAAGACGAAAAGTACAGCAAAGAAAATTAGAATAGATGTAAAGGAGTTACAGAAGGAACAGCTGGCTGTGGGGATGCTGACACTAGATGGAGAGACTCTAGATGCGCAGCCAGAGGAACTTACAGACATAAGTGAGGAAAATGGTTGTGACAAAAAGGATGAAAAGGTCCCAGAGAAGTGATGCTGTCAAAAAGCTTACCATTAAAGGAACTCTGAGAGACACTTCACAATATTGAAAGGGCAAAAGATAAAATGTTGGATGCTCATCCAGACTTAGAAAGGAATATGACAATTTGCTAAAGCAAAGTCAAGACACTTGGTCAGTTACACAATGAGAAGGCAAGCACTGTTCAAACTACTCTTAATGTCTTACAAATAAATAAAACGCTTTATTATATTTTGTTTCTAATGTTTTGAATAACAGTGTAACTAAAGAGATGTTGGAGCCCTGATAGAGAAGTGGTTAAGAGCTCAGCTGCTAACCAAAAGGTCAGCAGTTCGAATCCACCAGCTGCTCCTTGGAAACCCTATGGGGTAGGGTAGTTCTACTCTGCCCTATAGGGTTGCTATGAGTCGGAACTGACTCAACGGCAACAGGTTTTTGATTTGGTTTAAAGAGATGTTAGTTTTCCTATTTTTTCATTTCCTTATACATTTATAAATGATGGTAAGAGTGTTTCAACGTTTTGGCAAAAACTTTTAAAGGTATAGAACAACTGTAATTTTTCCTGTTGACAATTAAGATTGTTTTGCATGGTTTCAGCTTGCACAGTCATTTTTATCACCCTGCATTACCATGCAAAGTAGGACTGCTGGTATTCTAAATCTTCTCTGGCTGCCCAACTACCAGTAAAACTCTACCCTAGAAAAGGGGGAAGGGGCTTTTCACATTTTTATGACGGTAAGGGCCTTATAAAAAGGCATATACTGTGCTGCACAAAATACCAAAATTAAATTTTATCTTAAGTGTCCTACCCTCTATAATATTAAATCAAATGATAACAACTCATAAGCATGAAAGATAGACAGGAATGCACATATTTGCAGCCTAAATTAGTTCGATTCTTCCTTGTGAAGCGTTAGAACATGTAAATCCAAAAATCACTTCAATTTAGCTTATAAAGTAGCATTTTGAAGCTGCGAAGTCATTTCCTCAATCATCCTTAGCACTGGCTAACAAGAAGGTCAATGTAATTACTCCAATGAGAAGGTCAATGCAGCAGGAAACACATTTAAACAATTTAATATATACATGCACACTGATATACACTAATGTAAATTAGGTAGGTGCAGAGCCATAACACAGACATAAATTTAAATAACAATAAGTTTCAACATTGGCATATTATTCATATAACAAAAATGGATATACAAAAGCCATCTGTCTGTTTACTAAGGAAGGCTTCCAAAAGTTAAGATTTCTAGTGGTCTTTAAATAACATACTATAAGAATGTAACAGACCAGGATGAGGCAATGAAGAGAGGATAAGGAAGCGAGAATGACAAGAGGGAGTAGTGAGTTTGAATCCACTTAGAAATCACAGAACAAAAAACGCTCTTTGGGAACTATCTGGCCCTATCTTTGCATTTTATAGATGGAAAAATTCTGACCCAGTGAAGCTGAAGGACTCACCCAAGATTATACAACTAGCATATCAAAGATCATGAAGATGGCACAGGATCAGGCTATATTTCGTTCTGTTATAGAGAAGGTCGACAGGAGTCAGAGCTGACTTGACAGCAACTATATTCAGAGTCCTCAGGCTCTTGCCAAGAGATCTGATTTTTACAAGTTGTCTAGTAAACAACCAAGCCTGGTTATCTGCGTTCCTGATCCAAGCAGATGAAAAAGCAGGATTGGGGAGGATAAAGGAAATCTCCATATATCTGAAAAATTAGAAAAATCTCTTCGTGTCTTGACAGTATCAGCCAAATAAAGCACTAACCCTTATTTATTTTATGACTTATCTTTGGCTGCTTACACATTAGTTAAAAAAAAAAAGAAAAGGTAAGTAGCAGTTATACATCAGCATGCACACTCCCAATAATGTCAAGTCTAAATAAAAATCGATTACTTCTGGAATGATAAACAAATCTAGTTAGGACAAAGAAAAACGATCTAGATATTTAACAATAAAAGATTAAATAACTTCTAGTATATTCATAAGGTAGAATGTTGCAGCCAATTAAAAATATTTACAAAGAATTGTTAACAAAATGGGAAACTACTTACGTTAATTTATAGAACCAGGAGAAGTATTTTATATATACAATATGATCTTGCTAGTTTGTAAGTTTCAGGGAAATAGGAAGGAAATTTGTTAAAATATTAACAGTGCCTTTCTCTGGACAGAAGAATTATGGGTGTTTCCAAACTTTCCATACGGAACATATAATATAAGCAGGGCAAAAATTTTAAAGTAAAAAGAAACTTAGTAAAAAAGATTTGTTGCTTGTTGTCGTTAGCCGCCACTGTGTTGGCCCCTGACTCACGGGGACCCTCAACTCATGGTGACCCCATGCACAACGGAACAAAACGCTGCCTGATTCTGGGCCATCCCTGTGATCAGTTGCGAACTGGAGCATTGTGATCCACAGGGTTTACACTGGCTGACTTTTGGACTGTAGATCTTACCAGGCTTTTCTTCCCTGTCTATCTTAGTCTAGAAGCTCTGCTGAGACCTGTTCAGCATCATAGCAACATGCAAGCCTCCACTGACAGACAGGTGGTGGCTGATCATGAGGTGCACTGACTAGAAATCGAACCTAGGTCTCCCACCTGGAAGGTGAGAATTCTACCACTGAGCCACTATACCAAAAAAAAAAAAAAAAACCAAAAAAACCAAACCCATTGCCGTTGAGTTGATTCCAATTCACAGCAACCCTACAGGACAGAGCAGAACTGCCCCACAGGGTTTCCAAGAAGTGGTTGGTGGATTGAAACTGCCAACCTTTTGGTTAGCAGCCAGTCTCTTAACCACTGGGCCACAAGGGCTCTGCTACAGTCCCTCGATAAAAAAAGATTCAAGCTATTATCAAGAAAACGTAGAAACAATTTATCAGTATTTTCTCTGTGTAATAAAATCTTACCTTAACCTTCTTTTTCCATGTAGACTTCTGTTTCTCCTCCTCTTCCTCAATTAATTTAAGTGCCAGCTCTTTGTTAACTTTTGGCAACTTCTAGTAGAGAGAAAAACAATAAAAGCTGTACTAAGATAGCCACATCACAGCTTTAAAGGTTAATAGTTCTGTAAGGACTATAACTGGACAAATAAAAGACATCACACTCTTATTTTAAAATTTTATTATCCCCAGAATAGGAAATAATGTGGACATAAGTAATGTTTTCAGGTGGACCAAACAGTGCAGGAACAGCGACATCAGCTTGGTGCTGAAAGGACTTGCCCTCATCCACGTCTTTTTCCAGCACACTGAGAAGCAAACTGGGAGAAGCTGTATTTGGCAGCTTATAGATGAGCAATGACAGGTCTACAACCCACAAATGATTAGCAAGAGGCCAGCAGGCTTGGTATGGTAGCCACGGCTACAGTTGTGGGGAACTGCTAAAATGCTACTTGAGGATCAGTTGTACTACTTCCCGTGCCCCAGATGGCAAATTTCCAAAGGGAATTCTAGATCTGAGTCTGACAATTCTGACAATACTGTACACAGATGGGGCAAAAATACTCTATCTCAGTCTCCCCTTGCCAATACACACATACTCATCATTCTTTAAAAATGTTAACAAAGAAAGTAGAAAAAGGGAAAAGTATTGAGGTAATTTCAGAAAACAGCCACTAGTTTTTTGTACTGAAATAGTATATACATTAAAAAAACTTTTTATTAACCAACGTTCAGTTATAAATATTTGTATCATTTGGTGATTAAACACAGTCAATAGGGGTACCAGAGCGAAACTGGAAGGCAGAAGAGGAAGTCAGGACTTGCTCTTTCTTGTTTGATTTCTGTTCGTGTCGGCATCGCGACAGTACTGTTCTTTGCCCTGGCAACTACAGGCAGCTCCAATAGCAGCAGCTGATTCTAGTTTGCAGCTGTGCAACCTTCCCAGGAAAAGCCTACTGAAGCCTCAAGGGCCCCAGCACCAGCTCCTCAGGGCCTTCCTCTTTCCTGTTCCCCAGGTACAATACACAAAATAAAAATTAAGTACTTTTCTCTGATACACTCAATGGTGAGCCCAATATTTACCTTTAACTGAACTCTCTGTGCACGTGTTTCTTCTATCTTCTGTCGAATTTTATCTTTCCTATATTCTTCATAAGCAAATGGATTTACCATCAGTTTCACCTTTTCAAAATGAAAATAAACAATCCTATTTAGCAGCATGTTTCATATGCACCATGACTATTACACCACAGATAGACAGAGTCCTTAAAAATGGTAAGTATATGTTATGAAAATACAAGTAAGGAACACAGAAATGGCTACAGATTGCTCAATAATCATCTACAATAACTGTAGTTTTGTATTTACCTTGTGATAGAGTCTTATATCCATGAAAAATCCATGCATATACGCCCGGAGAAAAGGTGATCCAATGAGATGTGTAAGCCCTAGGAAAAGTTAATCAGAAGAAGGCAGGTTCTCATAAAATTTTTATTAAAATGTAACAGTTTTTAGGAGGACTCACACTACCTGACCTCAGAATCTACCATACAGCTACGGTAGTCAAAACAGCCTGGTACTGGTACATCGACAGATACATTGACCAATGGAACAGAATTGAGAACCCAGGTGTAAATCCATCCACCCACGGTCACCTGATCTTCAACAAGGGCCCAAAGTCCATCAAACAGGGAAAAGATAGTCTTTTTAACAAATGGTGCTGGCACAACTGGATGTCCATCTGCAAAAAAATGAAACAGGACCCATACCTCACACCATATACAAAAACTAATTCAAAATGGATCAAAGACCTAAAGATAAAGCCAAAAACTATGAAGTTCATAGAAGAAAAAACAGGATCAATGCTACAGGCCCTAATACACGACATTAACAGGATACAAACCATAACCAACAAGACACAAACTTCAGAAGATAAGCTAGACAACTGGGATCTTCTAAAAATCAAACACCTGTGCTCTTCAAAAGACTTCACCAGAAGAGTAAAAAGAGAACCTATGGACTGGGAAAAGAATTTTGGACAGTACAAGTCAAAGGTCTAATCTCTATAATCTACAAGAAAATCCAACACTTCTACAACAAAAAGACAAATAATCCTATTAAAAAATGGGCAAAGGAAATGAACAGACACTTCACCAAAGGAGACATTCAAGCGGCCAACAGACACATGAAGAAATGCTCCCGATCACTGCGATCACTAGCCATTAGAGGAATGCAAATTAAAACCACAATGAGATACCATCTCACTCCAGCATTACTGGCATGAATTAAAAACACTGGAAATAACAAATGTTGGAAAAGCTGCGGGGAGAATGGAACTCTTATGCACTACTGGTGTGAATGCATAATGATACAACCATTTTGGAAAATGATATGGCGCTTCCTTAGAAAGCTAGAAAATAGGCATACCATACAATCCAGCAATCCCACTCCCAGGAATATATCCTAGAAAAATAAGAGCCATCACACAAATAGACATATGCACACCATGTTCACTGTAGCATTGTTCACAATAGCATAAAGATGGAAACAACCTAGATGCCCATCAACACATGAACAGATGAACTATGGTACATACACACAATGCAGTACTATGCAACGATATAAAGAACAATCATGAATCTGTGAAGCATCTCAAAACATGGATGAAACTGGAAGACATTATGCTGAGTGAAATAAGTCAATCACAAAAGAACAAACATTGTATGAGACCTCTACTGTAAAAACTCATGAAAAAGTTTACACACAAAAAGTAACAATTTCTGTTGGTTACAAGGGATGAGAGGGGTGGGGGTGGAAATACTAAATAGACAGTAGATAAGTGGTAACTTTGGTGAAGGGTAAGACAGTACACAATACTGGGGAAGACAGCACAACTTATACAAAGAAAGGTCATGGAAGCTCCATAGACACATTCAAACTCCCTGAGGGACTGAATTGCTGGGCGGAGGGCTGTGGGGATCATGGTTTCGGGGAACATCTAGCTCAACTGGCATAACACAGTTTATAAAGACAATGTTCTACATTCCACCTTGGTGAGTAGTGTCTGGGGTCTTAAAAGCCTGTGAGCAGCCATCTAAGATACTCCACTGGTCTCACCCGTTTGGGAGGAACGGAGAATGAAGAGAACAGGATACAAGGAAAAGACTGGTCCAAAGGACTAATGGACCACAGCTACCAAGGCCTCCACCAGACTGAGTCCAGTGCAGCTAGATGGTGCCCGGCTACCACCACTGACTGCTCTGACTGGGATCACAACAGAGGGTTCTGGACAGAGCTGAAGAAGGATGTAGAACAAAATTCTAACACACAAAAAAAGACCAGATTTACTGGCCCGGCAGAGACTGGAGAAACCCCGAGAATATGGCCCCTGGATACCCTTTTAGCTCAGTGGTGAAGTCACTCCCAAGGTTCACCGTTCAGCCGGGGATTGGACAGCCCCATAAAACAAAACGGGACTAATGAGGCACAGCAGTCCAGCGACAAGGACTAGAAGGCAGCAGGGGACAGGAAAGCTGGTGATAGGGAACCCAAAGTTGAGCAAGGACAGTGTTGACATGTCGTGGGGTTGTTAACCATTGTCATAGAGCAATAAGTGTACTAACTATCTAATGGGAAACTATTTTGTTCTGTAAACCTTCATCTAAAGTACAACGATAATGTAAAAAAAGAATTATCTATGTGAGATCAAACTGACAGCAGCAACTCAAAAAGTTTGATGGGAAGCCTAGGGGAGAGTAAGTTGAAGACAACTGTGATGGAATAATTTGGAAAGGGATAGTGAGAATGGCGGCACAACTGGAAGAACGTGATCAATGTTGCTGAGTTGTACATGTAGAAATTTTTGAAATGGTGTATCTTTAGCTACGTATATTTTCACCAAAAAAAAAAAGGTCCTCCAAGGTCGAGAAGGGAGAGTATCAACATGTCATGGGGTTGTTAACCAATGTCATAAAATAATATGTGTACTGACTGTTTAATGAGAAACTATTTATGTCATGGGGTTGTTAACCAATGTCATAAAATAATGTGTGTACTGACTGCTTAATGAGAAACGATTTGTTCTATAAGCCTTCACCTAAAGTACAATTTAAAAAAAAAATTTTTTTTTAAAGTTTTTCTTGAACAATTTGGTTATAATAAAATTTCACTTCTGAGTAAAAGTTAAAAGATTAGAATTACTAATCTTCAATTAACTACTGGGAAAATTTTAAATCCACTTCAACAAATTCATCCTTACTTATTTTAAACATAATAATAAGCATAAAAATTAGCTTAAGAAGTCTCTATGAGCTATGACAGACCGGTAAAGACACATACCTCATATTGATGGTTCTCAGATTTCTAGATTCCATGAACCAGTTCAATTATCAAAATAATTTCTGGGATCAGCAATAGGCTGCTAACTTTTCTAATGTCAAGTAGGGGCAGTGGTGGTCACAGGAGGACACTCTCCTACCTCATAGCAATTACTTTATTAACTGCAAATATTTACACAGGAAAATGTTATGAGAATATTTATCTTAAAAAGAGAGCGCAAGTGCCCAGCTACCACCAATGACCGCCCTGACAGGGAACACAACAGAGAGTTCCTGACAAAGCAGAGAAAAGTGGGGTGCAGAACTCAAATTCCAGGAAAAAGACCAGACTTAATGGTCTGACTGAGGCTGGAGGGACACCGAAAGACAATGCCCCCAGACTCTCCGTTAGCCCAGAACTGAAACCATTCCCGAAGCCAACTCTTCAGACAAAGATTAGACTGGACTATGGGACATAAAATGATACTTGTGAAGAGTGCCACTTAGCTCAAGTAGATACATGAGACTAAATGAGCAGCTCCTGTCCAGAGGCGAGATGAGAAGGCAGAAAGGGTGAGGAGCTAGTTGAATGGACACGGGAAATCTGGGATGGAAAGGAGGAGTGTGCTGTCACATTACAGGGAGAGCAGCCAGGGTCACACAGCAATGTGTGTATTACTTTTTGTATGAGAAACTGACTTGAACTGTAAACTTTCACTTAAAGCACAAAAAAAAAAAAAAAGAGAGAGAGAGAGAGACCACAAGGTGGTTGCATAACATGATGAATGTAATAAATGTTATCAAATTAGTTATATATGTAAAAATTGTTGAATTGGCAAATGTTTTGTTATATGTATTTTTACCACAGTAAAAAAAAAAAAAAATTAGACCACATATGCAATACCCACATGAAGAAAAGCTTTAGCTGGTATAATATGAAGTGACTCTATAAGGAAAACATTACCCTAATTTCCAGATTTTAGAAACAGACATCCACACAGACATGAAAACCAGGAACTATGCAAAACAGAACAAAATGTAAAGGCAAAAATTAAATTTAGAATAATCTCATAAAAAAATTAAAAGTCTTGGTCAGAAAAATACTTTCCTAAAATCTGTTAGGTTAATAAAGGTACAGGGTTTGGAATTCCACAGTAGAGTCTTATAAAAGAGATGTTAACCTAATGAAGTACATCTAAATTCATGTACTTGCATATGTATGTTTATTACCTAACCTGTCCTCAGAATATTTGGTCTGATTAATTACCAAATTATGAAATACATATATCAATGATAGCAACAATAATTTCTGCTTCCTCTATTAAGTCTATAAAATTTATATTTACATCAAGAACTATTCCCATTCCAATTCATAAACGAAAGCTGAGCAGAAAGCTTTTCATATTAAGACAATTTAATTCTAAACAGAGAATCTGACGGCAGCAGTATTTCTCGTAGCTAGCCCCACAGAACATTAGTCCCAAGAGATCTTCTGAGGAAAAAAATGGTTCTGTGGTCAAGTAAGTTTAGGAAATGTTTCATACTTGCCTCCCTCTCCAGGAGATTCACAATGTACAATGATATTAAAGGCTCTAAGACCAAAAGTAGAGAAACTGATTTAACTTTGCTTAACTCAGCATTTGCCAAACTTATTTGCTACAAATCTCCTAAAAATAATAGTTAACACTCACTTGGTATGTTTCAGACCCTGCAATGAGTACTTTTCAAGCATTATCTGATTCATTTCCAACCAACCCTATGGGTAAGTACTATTATTGTTCCCATTTTGCAGATGAGGAAACTGAGGCTTAATGAAGTAAACTGGCCAGATATTAAGTGGTAGAGGTGGGATGTGAACCAATGTCAGACTACCTCCAGTGTTCACGATATTAGCCACTACACTAACCATGCAGAAGTAATATTCCACGGAACACATTTTGCAAATACCACGCTATAGTATCTGCTAAAGGCCAAAGCTGGGAAGAGTAGGAATTTGCAAGTATTCAATATCATTAATGCTGTACTACAAATAATCTTAGGAAATAAGGGACATTAGTATTATACAGCCTTGCTTCTACTTTTAAGATAAATTATTTTAAAAGTTTTATATATGATGTGGAAATATTAAATATAATATTAAAATACACTAATAATGTATAAAAACACTTTCTAGCACAAATGTTATTTTGCTGAATATTGTATCTATTTCCATAGCTTTAAAAATGGGCAGTATGATTACATTTTAACAAAATGTACCTCAGTCTTTATAACTGTCTTCCTCACCCAAAATAAACATATTAAAGAGACTGAAATAGTACCCAAAATGTAGTAAGTACAGCAGTTGAAAAAAATCTACAAAATAACAATGACCTTGGTTCCTCCAATTTAAGAATGTAGGTGAGTATGACATGATATTATAAAAACTATGTTGGAATTTTTTAAGTAGTCAGTTCAGTAGAAAGATCCTATTTCATTCATAAGCCATTTTAAAAAGGTGGAATACAATTCTCTTTGTTTTGAAGACATTAAAATTTAAAGAACTATTTTGGTGGTAACTGGTGAGAAAATAATTCTGGCCTGGATTAAGTATGCTATGAGATACAGGTTAAAAATAAAGTGGAAAGCCTCTCTATTAATTTGTTTATTACATGATTCTATTAACATTCAGCTGCTGTTGTACATCTATTTGTTGCAAACACAACCAAGTTGCCTACACTTGTGTAGAGTAGACCCTCTAAGTTTTCCCACTCTCAATAATTAGCTATATGGTCCTTCCCAACAATAAAACAAGATTATCAAAATCTGTTCTCTTTATCATACAAACTAGTATTAGGCAACTGGAATAAATATGCTCTTCTGAGAGGTTAAGGAGCCCTCAATCTTCGTAACTGTCTTCCTCACCCAAAAATAAACATTAACCACGTAAGCATTCAGCTGCTAAGTGCAAGGTTGGTGGTTCAAACTCACCAGCCACTCTGTGGCAGAAAGATGTGGCTGTCGGTTTCTGTAAAGATTACAGCCTTGGAAACCCTATGGAGCAGGTGTACTCTGTCCTGTAGGGTTGCTATGAGTTGGAATCAACTTGACGGCAATGGGTGTTTGAGTTTGGGTCTGAGGGATTAGAACGGCTGAGGTAAAACACATGGAATCTGCGTTTAAACTCCAACCCTCACATTTACTACCACTGAAACCTTTGGTAAGTTACGTTAATCTTTCTGTGACTCAGTTTCCTTATATATAAAATGGAATCATAGCACACACTCCATAGGGTTGTGATGATTAAGTGAGTTATAGATAAAGCACTTAAAATACTGGCTGGCACAATGTAAGCAGTACATACAAGTTTTTGCTGTTCTAATAAAAGGCATTTCTTGGTTTGTGACCTTTAAACCTAAAGCTACCATTAAGGTTCTACTGCATTTGAAGATTCTATCTATGGGTTCTAAGTTTTGGATTGGATCTACTATAAACAAACCCAAAAGGGAGCCAGAAAGGATTTGCTTGTGGTCTCTGAGATATCTTGAAAAACCACTGTTTTCTTGAAAAATATTTTTTCTATACCTAGCTAGTACGCTAAAAAAATTATTCCTCATTTAAAATCTAAAAAAGCATCAATAGGTTGAATTTACCTGACCCTCTAAGCAGAGATCATAAATTTGATGATACATTGTATGTATAATACCTGATTTGGCAAAAGATACGGAAAATCAGATAAACAGGGATGAACCACTTCTAATATTCAAAACCCCAAAAATAAAAAAAAAGGGTAGAAATAAGTTACTTTTATTAACATTTTTATCATAATTTTTTTACCTAAATTTTCAAGGTCTTTTTTGGTGACAAATTTATAATCATCATAAACTGTGCTTTCTGGATTCTCTTCTAATTCTTCTGTCAAGTTGTCTAAGAAGGAACACCACCTGGGAGCAGGACCCAAAACCTGTTGGCATTTATTAAAAAGTTAGAAAATGTACGTTCTCACCATGTAAGCTAAGAAGTAGCTATTTTACAACAACAGATTTCCTTTAATTCTTTAAATCTTTGTTTCTAGCAAAAGTATTGAAAAAATTGCAATATGGATAATGAATACGTATATAAAGAAAGACAATAAAATAGGAAGTATTTAGGTTTATAAAAACATCTCAGTCTGGGATACAAAGATATTAATGAATGTTCTTATATCAGAACGATCAAAATACAGATAAATAATTCAGGTACTTAGAATAATTAACATCCATTCATTCATCCATCATCTCTTTCGTTACAAAAAGTACGAGAAGCTACAAAAGGATATCTGGTAGACACGATTTTTTAAGTTTGCTACCATGACAAGCAAAAGTCCAAAATGAGAATTACCTTCTTTTAAAGTTTTCAACTAATTACTTGATAATTACATTAAACTCTGCATGGCCCATTTAACTCATTTTGTTCCTCAATGAAAGGTTTGAGGAACAAAAGACTAAACAGTATTTCTAACACACTAATAAAATATGAATAACTTAAGTTTGAAATCTAACTATTTCTACAAAACACTATGACTGCTTTTCACTTTTTCTGTTGTTGATACAAATCGTTTCCAACATGATGTCATACCCACTGAGGTCAACACTTATTCCAAAGGAAATAATGCTCATTCAATGGAAAAGATATGTTATTGAAATTCTCCCTTTCAGAAGACAGAACGCTGGGTTCAGACAAAATGGAACTTCTAATGACCACTTTCTCGTTTATTTTTGTAGTAATTAATTATACAGAAAAAAAAACAAAAATTATAATGGAAATTATTAAATCTAGCTGAAACTTTTTGGAGAAGAAAAAGGTAGAAGGAAGAGAATTCTAACAAAGAAAAACAGTCCCTCTTAAGATCCTCTTCAGTGGTATGTTTTAATATGGTAAAACAGATTAATCAGGGAAACAAAATGATGACAGGTATGGCCATACTAATTTAGCTATATGGTTTTGTCTGACTGGAAACGGTGATTTTTCCCCCCAACAAGGCTATGGGTCGTGAATATGAAAAACAACTCTTAATGAACATAATTAAAGAAGTCCAATAAAGAAGTTTTACATTAACATAACCGATGCAAATTTTCTTAACAAAAGTAAAGATTTTAATACACTAAGTGGCTAAGGAAACCCTGGTGGCATAGTGGTTAACAGCACTGCTAACCAAAGGGTCAGCAGTTCAAATCCACTAGCTGCTCCTAGGAAACCCTATGGGGCAGTTCTACTCTGTCCTATCGGGTCACTATGAGTCAGAATCAACTCGACGGCAACGGGTTTGGTTTTTTTTTCTTTTTTTTTTTAAGTGGCTAAACTCTAACCAATAGTGAGTTGAAAACAATTAAGGCAAACCTTCAAGAAATGCAAAGCTTTTTAAAAAAAATTCAATGTAGAACATATTTTAAAGAAATTGCTATGGGTTTAAGCCATTTTAGGACGGTAGTTTAAGATCAACAGAACTTTACATTAAATGCTACTATATATAAAGCACTGTGCTAAACCAAAGACATTGACTATGATCTCCATAAAGGAGTTTAAAATTTAGCTAGAGCAGAAAGGTCAACGGATAGGCACCCGTGCGCACACACGCGGACATGCGCGCAGACACACACACGTAAGGCAGTGGACTAAGACAGACAGGCTGGAAAGGGCCGGGAAGGTTGGGACACTGAATAAATATATTTTAATATAGTAGGATGAGGGAAACACTCCCGGTTGGAATGAACATATAAGCAAGCTAGGAAAACCACAGGGCATTTTCTGAGTATGAGTGTTTAGACACTTGCCAAAAACTGGGGTATATGCTTTCAATTAGTCATAAATCTGTGAGTACAAAGCTCTACCATATAATGGTACACAACCTAAGACAGCAATCTTCTCTTCTTTTACATGGGAAGAAAGTACATTATTATCACTTTGCTAGCATATAAGACTCAAGATACTGTCTTCTTCATTTGTTTGAAGACATTTCATTTGTTTTGTTAGCTGCTGGATTTCCAGTATCTAAAACACTGCCTGCCAAGTAGTAGCTGCTCAATGAGTATCTGATAACTAAATCTATTCATACATAAAACACACATGAATGCATCCCTGAATTTTATGTGCACAAGGCACTAAGACTTAAAGGATCTTGTTTGGAAAAGAATTTTTTTGTCTAATTTTCCTTCTGGAGCCTGGTGGTGCAGTGGTTAAGAGCTAGGCTGCTAACCAAAAGGTCAGCAGTTCAAATCCACTAGCCGCTCCTTGGAAACCCTATGGGGTAGGTCTACTCTGTCCTATAGGGTCGCTATGAGTTGGAATTGACTAGACGGCACTGGGTTTCTTCTTTTTTTTTTTCCCTCATTCAGATAAAAACATTCAAGTACCTCACCATAAAATTACTGGATATAAGAATCTTTTTGGTGAAACTCAGAGAGCTATTTTGCATCCTAAGCAAAAGACCTCATGATAAAGTGGTTTCACATCTTATTCAATTAAAAACATGGCCTTCAAAGCCTATAAAAAGATTATACTGTTTTTACTTCTTTTTTTTTGAGGGGGGAAGGTAAGAATATCAAAATATCAGACCAGACCTGAATTTACTTTTCACTTTTATAATGTTCCATAACATTCTTTCTGATTAGCTATCTGGATTCTAATGGAATTGTTTTAAATTGCCTCTCAGGGGACAGGTCTGGTTATGGTAAATAATCTCTTCAGTCAGATTCATGACCATTAAATTTTATAGGAGGAAATATTCTCATCAAAAACAAAATTAAATCTAGTGGGTTGACCTTATTAATCACATTTCCCCAGTTCCTTTTCAGAGGAGGAAAAAAAACCCCACCAGAAAAACCATAACAAAGTTGAAATTACTGATTTACACTGGTATTAACTGCAGGTTTTATTCACCTTAGAATTTTCCTCAAAGGCCCACTATTATACAACAAAACTAGTGGTTAACTTAACCAATAAGGAGGGACTAATCATGTGCTGAAATCCCTGGGTGGCACAAATGTTTAAGCGCTTGACTACTAGCCTAAAGGTTGGCAGTTCGAACCCACCCAGAGACACTTCAAAAGTAAAGCCTGGTGATCTGCTTCCAGAAGGTCACCACTTTGAAAACCCTGTGATGGTTAATGCCATGTGTCAACCTGGCTAGGCTATGATTCTCAGTGGTTTGGCAAACACTATGTAATCATCTTCCATTTTGTGATCTGATACGAGCAGCCAATCAGTTGAAAAGGGAGTTTCCTTGGGGGCGGTGTCTGCCTGCACTATATAAATGGATGTTCTGGGAAAGCTCTTTCAATTCTGAACTCTTCTCGCCACTTGACCTCCAGTTCCTGGGACCCGAGAAGTCTTCAACCTGTTCCCTGACCTGCAGATTTTGGATTCACCACCCCTGCAACTATGTGAATCACTAGAAGCCTTCAGCCTGCCAGAAGCCTTCAGCTTGCCGCCTGACCCACAGATTTGGGACTTGCCAGCCCCCACAACTGCATAAGCCATTGCCTCATGACTGTGTGAGCCATTTCCCGGAAGTAAATTTCTCTCTATATATTTATATATGCTTCCTTGGTTCTGCTCCTCTAGAGAACCCGACCCTATGGAGCAGTTCTACTCTGACACATGGGGTCCTCATGAGTCGGAATTAACTTGATGGCAACCAACCATAATAACAATCATGTGCCACTGCTCTCTGATGTACCTGAATGATTACGATATTAATTAATGTGTAAAAATTCCTTGCTGTCTTCATTGCCATATGTTAAACCTAATCACTAAAAATATATTAACTTATTTCCTAAATTTCAGGCTTTACAACTTGAGGAAAACATTCTTTTTAACCATTGCTAGAGAGTACCACTACATTAAAACCTTCCAAGTTTCTGTATTGCTATATTGCTATATTCTGCACCTCAGTCAAAACTGATTATTGCTTGTTAATCTACATTTTTATGCACCTTAAGAATTTTGTTTCTTTCAGAAAATTGGTGATTGTTCTGTTTTAAATTTCTATTATCTGTTAATGATCTTCTACTTTTAATTTATAAGAACTTCCTAAAGTCACAGGTAAGTAAAAATAGAGAACTGAAAACTGATTCATCAAATTGTACCCACTGCCACTGAGTCACTTCTGACTCATAGTGACCTTACAGGACACAGTAGAGCTGCCCTGAAGGGTTTCCAAGGAGCCGTTGGTGGATTCGAACTGCTGACCTTTCGGTTAGCAGCCAAGCTCTTGACCGCTGCGCCACCAGAGCTCCAAGAAGGGATACGGAGGTCTCTTAGCAACTTTAATAACCATACCAACCAATTAGACTGAAATACTTGACCCCTGACAATATGAAAAAATCTACATTAACATGCAATGAAAACATCCTCAAGTCCGAGGCAGCCAAATATTGTCTTGTTCTAATCCATTCAGACGAAAGAACCAATTTGTAAGTACCTAAAAATATATGCTACGTGCCCAAGATGATCATATGTCTCTATGATTACAATCTGCATTTAAGATGCTAATTAATATATACTTAATTTTAAAACTCAAAATTCTTATATACTGTAGCGACAGACAAAAACAATTAGGGATGGAAACGGGGGATGAATATTAAGATTCATAGGAAGTTGAGAGAGAAGGGTTCCCCCTTCCCCACCGCACTTTTGAAAAATCACTGTGCCACATCCCACAGATGTGGTGAGGCCAAAAGAAAGACTGAGGATCCATCTAATGATGGATGATCAAGGGTGATTTAACAGATCAAGGATGATTAAAACAACAACAAAAAAGTACTATTATTACAAAAAAACCAAAGTGCACTAATTCAGTATAAAAGTCATCACTTTTTCCACTCATTTATAATGTTATTGAGTATGACAAAAATAATTTCATTATTTTTCCTACAAATATGAAAGATAAGAACATTATTGATAACACAGAAGAGCAACTGATTT